GAAAACGTAACTTCCTGTTGTCACCTTTAATTTTTCTGAAATATCATTACATGATCTGAGCCAAGCAAAATGTAGGCTCATGTAGAGTATCTTGATTATAATGGAAAACTGGTGATTATAGAGTCAGGTATTTCTTTGATACAGCAATTTTTATATTAATATAAAACCAGGCAATACATGGAAAAAGTAAAAGGCCTAAACCAACAATTTCCTTGAAAACACATCAGAAATTACTTCCACTGAAGATCCCAGGTATTCCTATTTGGCCTTCCTCAGACACGGAGAGTACTGCTACAAACACACACCTACTGCCTGGGCTTTCTTCATCACCTCAAGAGCCTCAGCAAGCTCTACTGACAAAGAGAGAAGTTGCCTATGATGCTGAACTGATCACCAGAACAATAATCTTGCTCACAAGATGGATTTTAGTTCTGGACCCCTTCAGAAGGGACTTATTTCTTTATTTCTGCAGAGGTCATCTCCCTTACCCAGCGCAGAGCCTGCAGTAAGAAGGCTTTGAGACGATCATTCCCTGTAATCAAATCTTTCTTCAGCTTCTCATAATCCAAAGAGGGCAACAATGGCACATCCTGCATCTTCCTACAATGCAAACGGGAAAGACATTAATCAAAACTTTCTCTTATTCAGTGCAGCTGATGTTACTGAGGTGAGAAGAGCCAAAACAGGAAGCCTGCCTCAGGAAAAGAGCTTCCACACTTTTACACCTTTGTTACTTTTATTACCATTCCCATGTTAGAACAACAGACTTTTAAAACTTGGACTTACTTTTTCACCATGCATGCAGCTCGTTTACTGTCATAACTTGCAGGCACTAAACTCTTAACAACTAGCCAACTGATGATCTGAGTTTTTTAGTGGCATAAACCAGTCCAGTAACATCGCTTTTTGCCCTGTGCAGACCACAAGGGCATGAGGGCAGCAACTCGTGGCTCTTAACCCACAGCAGTGAACAGACATAGTAACAAGCTGCAGCTCCAACTTCACCTCTAAGCCCTCGTGTACACAGAAATGTCTTCTCCAAGGCAATGGAATGGGCTGCCCAGGGAGGTGGTCAAGTCCCCATCCCTGGAGGTATTTAAAAGAAGGATAGATGAGGTGCTCAGGGACATGGTTTAGTGGTGGGATGGCAGGGTTAGGTTAAAGGTTGGACTCGATGATCTTAAAGGTCTTTTCCAACCAAACTGATTCTAAGGCAAAGGTGGTAGGAGGAACGGATTTTTAGAGGCTGGACTATGCTGGCTTAATATCAGACTTAATACAGGAGCACTTTCCATGCACCAGTACTATCTTGCTATTTTGAGTTTTAACACTGCAATAGAAGTTTTCCTTAACAAAATTGCTTCCAGTCAATGCTTTAATTTTAATATTTAAATATATTCCACTAAAAAATTTTTACTCCTATATTCCTATCCTGCCACCTTTCAAAACAAATTTTATGTTATATGTATAAAATTGTCCCTTTAATTATCTTGTAAACAATAGAAGGATCAGAACAGTGTCTCAAAAATTTAATAAAACCTTCACCTCAGATATACTATCTCCATTCAACCTTATAAGCCAAAATTTATTAAGTCAGTAACAAAAAAATTAAACTTGAAGCACCCAAAAATTCACGTTACCAATTTCCCCTTTTCCTGGATTTGTGAGAAGCAAACAAATTACAACAACAGTACTGTACTGTGCAGAAACAGTAAAGAAAATACAGCAACCAACTCACAGGTGTGGAGTGGCAGATTTACTGG